GGCGTCGCTGGCTGGGGATCTCCGGGAGCCGCCGCGGCAGCTGCTCCGTCGTCGGTCCGTCGGTCTCGGCCGTCCCCGTGGATGCCAGCTGGGAAAGAAACACACAGACACGATTGATCGTCGATTCCCCCGAGGATATGGGAAAATATAGGGGAGTGGGGGGGAGGACAAGAGATCCAGAAAATGTGGGGGAACATGGGGGATCCTGTTATTTGTGTGTGTGTGTGTATTTATTTGCGTGTCCCAGGGCCCCTTCAGGATGCTTGGGCTGGTGCTGCTCGCCCACGACGTCCAGGGTGTCGTCGTACTGGCAGCTCCGGGCGAAGCTGCTCCACGGTGCCTCGGTAAATCATGCACCCGTGCGTTACCCACACCGCTGAGGCGTGCATCACGTTCGCCTCGTTGACCTTCGCCTCCCCTGCCACCGCCAGAGCTGGGCCGTGCCAGTGGCACTTCTCCAGCCCCTTCGTCTGCTCGGGTCGCCAGAAGCAGACCCACTCGCCCGATCTCGTAGTTCCTCCTCGTCGGCCTGCCGCGCGCCAGCAGCGCCGCTCGCACGGCGCGCGAGCAGTTGGCCTCGATGAAGGCTGTGGCGGCGGCCGTCCTCCTGATCATCATCTCGTGCACCTCGCTCTTGGGGTCGAGCAGCGCGGCCTGCTCCGAGAGGCCGCAGTCCTCGTCGCAGAGGGCGCCTGGCATCTCGGGCTGCGTCCCCCACGCCAGCGCCGCGGGTGAGAATCCGTGCGCGTTCCTCAGGGTGTTCCGCTGGCTGTCTCGATGCGAATCGTCGGGGATTTGAGATCTCGAGCGAATCGTCGGGGATTTGCAGATGAGGGCGTGGAGAACCCGTGGCGTTCCTCATCCTGAGGGCGGTCTCGAGCGAATCGTCGGGGAATTGCAGATGATGCTTGCTGGGCTGTTCCCTTCTGACCGCGGGGTTCCGCTCCATCAGGCCTGACCTGTCGTGCGCACCTTTCGGGATCAGGTCGAGCTGAATGCTATGCTTGCTCATCCAGTCGTGCATGCGCTTGGCGGTGTGCGAGCCTCCCATGTCCATCCGCATCGTCTCGGGCTTGCCAGCCCAACTGCTCCAGAGCTCCTCCCGCAGCTTCGTTTCCTTCAGGAACGTCTCCTTCGAGATCGGGTAGTCGACCTCGTAGCGTGTAAACTCGTCCATGATGGCCAGGATCTTCCTCTCTTTCTTCTTCCACGTGATGTAGTACACGTCGGTGCAGACAACCTCGTTGAACCTCTTGGCCCTGGGCAGCACTAAGACGCGAACTGCTCGAGGCCTCTGCGTGCCTAGGCAGATCTCGCACTGGAAGAGCCTGGCGCACAGGATCCACTCCGCCAGGGCACCCGCATGCTGCATGGCAACCGCCAGCGCTGCGTTCGAAGGGTGGCCCAGGCTGACGTGTGCGCGCTTGACCGCTCGGATCGTCGATACGTTGAACCGCTTCATCAGCTCCTGCATCATGTCGGTGTGCTCGATGGCGTCGATGTCCTTGCAGACCTCCTCGGTCGCGTTATTGTCGCTGATGTCGCCGGCCATGCCCTGGCAGGCGCTCAGGCAGGGCATCCTCTTCGCCATCGGTCTCGGGCAGTTCTGAGCCTGCTGGGCGAGCGTGTCCTCGCAGGATCAGGCGGTCCTCCGTACACGCAAATGCCAGGTTCATGTGGTGAGTGAGTTCCTTGTGGATCGACTGCAGTCTCGTGGGCTTCTGGTAGGGCGTGTCCCTGCCCTGGATCTTGTACTTCGCTCCCAACCTGCACTGGTCGAGCCTGCAGTGATATCCTGGCAACTTCTTCCACGTCTTCGTCCGCCAGTGTAGCCCCTGCCACGGGCCTTCCACATACGCGCGTCGGTGTCCGTTCTGTTGCTGCACAAGCGCCGTCAGAATCATCTTCAGAAACATCCGTTCTTCTCGCTCCTTGGCGTCATTGATCTCCTTGGCTCGCTCCTCGGAGATTTTCTCGTTCACGTGCTGGCAGGAGCACCAGTACCTGCACGGGGGAGCGGAGAAGATGTCGTCGGGTTTGTCATTGTCGATCTTGTTCAGGAAGTCGCGGATCACGGCAGGCTTGGAGAAGTCCCAGCCGTCCTCGATCCTGAATTGGAGCACCTCGATCTGCGGAAACTCGATCAGCTCCTGCGACAGGGCCCCATGATCAACGAAGACCTCCCAGACCAACCGTTTGCGCGGCCCGCGCAGCGTGTCCTTCATGTCGGACTCCGCCTGCTCCAGCGACAGGGCCAGGTCAGAGTAGGTGTCCGCATCCATCAGTTGGCGCTCCGGGCCCACGACCTCCTCCGTGGCCAGGGTCTCATCGTCGCTGCCGATCTCGTAGAACTCCATCCGCGTCTCCAGGTAAAAGGCGTCGGGGTCTGGCGTTGACGAGACCTCGTCGTCGCCTTCGTCGCCTTTGACCGAACCTCCTTCAGTGTTTTTGTCCGTCGAGTCGCTGCTGCTGTCATCTCCGTCGGTGGGGGCCCCTCGTTCATGGCATCGTCGGCATCGCGCCCAGCTCCACCCAACAGGTCGGGAAATCCTTCATCATGAACTTTCCAGCTCGGTAGTCCTGGATCACACCCTACTCCTCCATGCAGGGTGGCGCTATCAGCAACGGCGTCCAGCCCTCGACGAAATGGATCGTGATATGCTTCTTGACGCCGAACGGCCACACCGTCAGTGTCACTGATTGCTTCGCCTCCAGCGTCTTGCCGTCTCCGAATCGGAATCGTCGATCACTCTTGCCATACTCGACCTCATGCAACAACTGCTTCGAACGAAGTAACTCCTCCCACTGGATCCACACCTTGTCGCCCATGACGGGTCGCGTGGCACCTCCGTCGTTGATGCCCTTGCCTGCGGTCAGCAGGAAAACCTCCTCGGTCGAGTTGGCGCACTCCAGCGTCTCGACATCCTCCACCATGCGTGCTTTGTCCTCGGGCTTAGTGAAGCCACTGTGCCTGAAGAGCTTGAACCTCGGGCCATGCTGCTGGGTAGAACCCGATGCAGTCGAACCCGCTGGCGCCGATGGTGCACCCTTGCCAAATGCTCCCTCCTGAGGCCCGAAGGCTTCCAGTCGTGGTGGGCCAAGTCTTTTGCTGCGTCCTTTACCTTTGCCACGTCCTCTGGCTTTGCCAGGGCCTGGTCTCGTCGCTCGCGTGGGTCCTGCGCTGGTAGTTGTTCTTTGGGGCGAGGGCGACAATCGGGTAAAATCCCCTGGCTTTCGCGATCTCCGCCACACGCTTCTTCGCGTCCACGAAGTAGGCCTCGTCGCACGCCACTTGGGCCTGCTCGACCTCCTGCAGCAGCTCCTCCGCGACGTCAGCCCCCCTCCTCATGCTCTTCGTAGTCGTACTCCTCGTCGTCCTCGTACTCTTCCTCCTCCAGGTACGAGTCTTCGTAGCACAGGCCTCGCTCCCACTCGTAATCGTTCGTGTAGTTCACGTCGTCCCTCAAGCTGTGTCCGACCCGCGTCTTCTCCCCTCGTTTCACGACGCGCTTGTCTGGTATAGCTTCGGCGCCGTGCGTGTCGAGCAGGGTTTGCTTCACTTTCGTCCAGCAGAGGCCGTCCACGCATTGACTCGGGGGCCCAAAAGTATACACCACCACCACCTCCCTCCCCCCTCCCTCTCGCTGGAAAGAGGACAGAGGAGGAATCGGCGTGGTGGTGGTGCATATTCTTTGGGACCCCATTGACTGCGAGCCTGGGCCGCGCCCGATGGCGGGACGGCCGCTCGTGTGAGGAGGTGCCAGCCCGCCAGCATGTCCGGGATCTCCATCCCGACCTCCTTGAGTCCCACCAGCCCTCTGGGCGTCGGTGGTTTAGAGCGTTTCCTCTTCCACCCCTCCTTCTTCCCCTTCGGGGAGGGGTTTACCCCTCCCCCTACCCCCTCCCCACTGACCTGGACAGGGGGGGCCGCGATCGGTCAGAGCGTCCAAGATCGACCCTCTCTCTTGCGGCGAAGGCAGTACAGCTTCCTCGTCTTCTTCTCTTGGCGAGCGAACCTGCCGAAGAAGACCTCGTCACGAGCTGGCAGCTCGGTCTGGATGGCGTGCTTGTAGTACTCATCCAGCACCTGGAGCAATGGCTTGAAAGCCTGTTCCGTCTCTAACAAGTCCAGGTCGATGTCCTCCGTAGCTTCCGCGGCCTCACCCTGCAGCAAGTTCATGACTTGGAACGCTCCCTCGCTGACTGCGGTGGCGCCGCGCTTCTTGCAGCACCGCTCGGAGACCTCCAACTTGTGTCGGAATACCCTGTAGCCGTCGGTCATCAACATCTCGTAGCTCGGCGCCGTCTTGGACAGGCCTGCGTCTAGGCCACGTCCTCCTCCGTCCTAGGTGGAACTCTCCTGTCGGGTTCACCAGCCTTGCCAGCCATTCCAATCCGTGTAGTTGGCCTCGTCGACATCCACGCTGCTCGGCGGGATGCGGCTGCCCTCCGCGCCAGAGTCGGCGGGAGCGGCGGCGGCAGAGGCTGCTGGCGGTCCGCCTGGCGGCGGCTTGGCCAGGGGCGGCGCGCGAGGCGCGCCGTCTGGCATGGCGCCGACGGAGGAACCGGAGAATGTGGATCTCCGGCTCCGCTACCAATATCAATCGATGGCAGCACCCTAAGTCTCCTCGGGATGTGTTCGATAGAATTGATTATCTTGATAATCGTACCAACTCGTAAGATACGCAACCTTTCACCTGACTCAGGGGCCCCTGAACATCAATTTGCAATGGTACAGACACATGTGAAACAACTGCTTGCAACGTATCGTGCTTGCTGAAACTGCTGAGCTGTGCTAATATGCACAAAATACACGAACACAACACGGTACAATTGGGGCTATATATTGATACCTGGGCCCCCCCCTGGGCCGCGCACGTGCCGCCAGCCATGACGTGCGCCCCCCCCTCTGGGACGTTCCCCTCTTGGCCGCCCCCTGCAAGCTGGAGCGGCAAATCCGTGAAGCCGTGGACACCCTGGGCCAGGGCAGCCTGCAGCAGCCCCCGCACCGGCACACGGGCGGCACGAGGGACCCCAACCGCCTGGACGCCGCGGCCCTCAGCGCCTTCCTCGCCGGCTACGCGGACGGCTCCCTGCGGGGCGAGGCGGCGTGCCCGCCCGGCGCGCCGGAGAGGTCAGGCACCGAGCTGGCGGCCCTGGCCGAGGCGGTGAAGGTCGATGGGCAAATGTTCCACCACCACCGCCACAGGCAGGCCAGGGGAGAAGGGAGGATTCTCCTCCTCCTCCTCCTCCTCCTGCTCCTGCTGCTCCTGCTCCTCCTCCTCCTGCTCCTCCTGCTCCTCCTGCTCCTCCTGCTCTCCGTCCTCCTCCTCCTCCTCCTCCTCCTCCTCCTCCTCCTCCTCGCCCCTCTCCTACACAGGGTAGCGAGTGGGACATCGGCCCATCAAAGGTCGGGCAGCGCTGCTCCCAGGAGTGGAAGAGCGCCTGGGTGCAGTTCTGCGGGTCCAGGGGCGAGAGGACTCGGGAGGAGGAAAGGGTCTATGCCGAGACCGCTGCCCCCTTCCCTCGTTGTCCCTGTCTGGGGCCTCCTGGGGGGGCCCTCGTCGCCACGGCGAGAGCAGGACACACCCCGTGCCCCGGGAGAGATCAGGGGAGTACTCCAAATCCCTTATCAATCGTCCCCTAGGTCCGGTCTTTTAAGGCCCCTTTTTTTTGTAAGTGGGGGGGTCCGGTTTATTAGGGCGTTTTCCTCGGATTGGAGCTTATAGGGGGTCCGGTTTCTTGAGGCGCCCCGTCGACGAGGGGGCTCCGGAAGATTTGGTCGCATTTGGAGGGGGGTCCGGCGGTTTTTTAGGGGGGGGTCGATTCATAAGGGATTTGGAGTAGCGGTATCGACGTATCCGTGTCAGAGCCCCGAATCATCAGGGGTAACTCGGGTCAGGGCTAACTCGGGTTCCTTTTTCGGGAATCCAAACCCGAGTTACCCCGGACCCCAGTCACCCCGGATAACTCGGGCGCCCAACCGTGCCCCTGCAGAGGACCCTGGACCCCAGCAGGCTCACCAAGGACGCGCGGCGCCCGGCGTGTGGCGGGTGGGCGGAGGGGGCGAGGGCGCCGCCGCAGAGGGCACAGGGGCTCCTGACTGCCCATTCGCGTCGTGAAGGCCCAGACATGATCGCGTCGTACCAAAACATCAGGACGGGAGGTGTTTCGCTACTCTCGAGCTCTAGAGGCGCTCGCGGGTCACCCGGGCCGTCAAAAGACGGCTCAGGATGACAGACCGGTCCCAGGGAAAGGGTCGGGACTTCCGGGGACGCCCCCCTGAAAAAATCAGGACGCCGCATGTCTGGGTAGCTACCAGCGCCCATTCGCGTCGTCAAGACAGATCACCGCAGCACTCGTTTCTTGCAAGCTTCGGCCGGGTGCCCTTCATTACCGGGCCCGGAGACCGCCAATCCTAAGACCTGGGACGAGGAACCGGTCCCGGGGGCAGGGGGTCCTCGCCGTGACAGGGCCAAAACGTGGGGGCATCCGAGGCTGTCACCAGAGGCGCCTTGGACGTTGGGAGGGGAGGCCTTCCTCCCTCGCCCGGTGCCCCGCAGCGCGCCGCCGCCGGAGGAGTTCCTGGTGTCCTACCTCGACTTCGTGGGCTCGGCCGCGGCGCGGCTGCTGCAGGCTGGCGGCGGCGCCGGCGGCGGCGGCCTCGGCTGGGGGCACCCGGCCCAGCCGCCCTTCGCGCAGGGGAAGCGCAGGGGCAAGCCCGGCAGGGGCGCGGTGGCCGGGCCGGCCTCCCCGCTGGGCGGCCCGCCCGCCAAGCGCCCGCGCATCGGGGAGGTCGCGCCGCCGCCCGGCAGCCGGGCAGCGCAGCCGGTGCAGGGCCCGTGGGAGGAGGAGCTGGTCCGGAGGGTGAAGGCCTTGCAGAAGGCGGACCCGGGCGCGAACCAGTGGTGGAAGGAGTTCTGTGACGAGCACGCGAGCGGCACGTACGACCCGACGCGCCACACGGCGGACACGCTGGAGATGTTCCTTGCGAGCACGGCTGGCTGAGAGGTGCTCTGGGCGGGTTGGACGCTGCACTCAGCTCTTGACCAGCCTCCAGCCTTGGCACAGCCTGCCCAGCTCTCGTGCTGGCAGCGGAGCTCCCTTGCACGCGCGAGGCGGCGCCACGCTGCCTCAACTCTCTGTTGGTTGGGAAGTGCCTGAGCCTATCTTCGCCAAGCGGAGCTCTCTCCTCGATAAATAGGGGGCGCCTAGCGTCGGGAGGCGGAGGGAGAGCCGGCTGCGTGAGCTTGCTCCGATAGCCGCTTTCACCGAAGACGGGGGATCAACTAATCACAAAACTGATTTGGCCCGCTTCAGAAATTGAATGTTTCAGTCGAGTCCATGAGAAGAACACATCGAATGATCATAAGTCGACGGATCATCTTACGCATTTTCCTCGCTTCAAAGAAGGAACAAGTCTGGGGCAAATCAAGTTTGCAGTCGATCTCCTACTCGACCTCTGCGTGTCTCTCCCTCCCCTGACCCCCCAACGTCATGATTTGTTTCATAGCGTCGACCCCCAGAGGTCTCGACCCATTCCCCGGAACCAGTGTTTCATCCCGAGTCGTTTTTTGGGGACGGCCCCGAGGCCCAGCGAGGGCCCCCCGGAGGCCGAAGACGGCCAACAGCTTGCCGTCGTGATTATTTCATGGTCCGAGGCGGTCTGGGGCAGCTGGCGGAGGCAGCAGGGCTCGACCCGAATGGTGTTCTGGCGACTCCGCGGACCGCTTTCGCGCTCCCACGTCGTCTTGCAGCAGAGGCGGACTGAAAACAACACGAGGGAAAACGCAGACGAAACGAAAACGAAAAACACCGTTTAGGTGTAAGTCGGGCCTGTCCCTCTACAGGGGGGAGCATTCAAAAATGGTCAGAAATTAGTATAGGGGACCTATTGTTTAGTATTTTTGCTCCGCCATTTGGGGATACATTTTGACTGGTCCTAATTTTTCGTCCAGAATCGGCCTGGAAGGGGGACAGGCCCGACGTAAGCTTAGGTCGATCCCCGGGCCAGCGCCGGGGAGGCGGTGCGCGCCTCCGCCCGCCGCCCTCCGCCCCGCGGCCGGCCCCCGTCCCTGGCCGGCGCCCCCATTTGGGCCCCACGGCTGCTGCCCTCCCTGCGCCCCTCTCTCGTTCGGCCGCCCCTGCATCGGACTGCCCCTCCTCGGCTCCTCCTTCTCCTCCTCCTCCTCCTCCTCCTCCTCCTCCTCCTCCTCCTCCTCCTCCTCCTCCTCCTCCTCTCCTCCG